CACCGCCACCACGATACCGAACTGAATTTATACCCTCGATCCTGGCACCTACTCGTCCTTCGAACGTCCTGACAAGGCTTTTGTCTCGATTCGAGCAAGCTGGGAGCGTTACCTTAGAGCGTTCACTTTGCTAGCGCTATGTTACTATATTGGGTAAGTGAGTTGTTGCTTATTGTCCTCGCTTCTTGGAGTAACGGAAGATATTTATGCCTTTGGATTGTATATAAATTGTGCACGGTTTAACTATGTAACACGATCGCTTGAATTGTTTTCGTTAATAGTTAGAATGAGTGAAAATTTATTTTCTTCATGATGTTAGAAGCGAATGATTTTTTTTTTTTTTTTTAGTAATAAAAGAATATGTATAGACTGATGCGTAAAGAAATCGATAGCGATATTGATAAAAAAATATGAAAAAAGATAAAATGGAAAAAAAATGTACGAATGTTCATAATTTAAAATGCTATAACTTATATAAAAATATTAAGATTCTTGAATTAAGTAGAGAATTAACCTTTATCTTGAAACATGCATAAAATATCTCTTAACATCTTTTAAAATATTAGTTTGCTCTATATTAAGAAATTAAACGAGTGATTCCTACAAGATATTCGATCAAAAGGATGAAAATTGTCGATTATCTTGTTTCGAATCTTATCTATCTACCGGAATAGCATCTCCGGGGGAATTCCTCTACAAATCGTTCAATCCCTTCTTTAAACTTCGCTGACGACTGTTATAAAATTCTTGCACGATACGAGAATTGCTAAATTACGTTTATCCGCCATTCGAATGCGGTTTCGCGGCATTTCTTATCCGAAAGGGAGGAGAAAGATTAAAAATGGTAGACCACTAATGAACATTCCTATTAATTCCAAGATAAAATGGAATGTAAACGAGTGGCCGGCGAATGAACGACATTAATTTCGCCGAACAAATGATGCTAATTTCACCAGCATTTGCAGTTTCAACCGGTAGCCCCTCATAAACGTACGAACCTCGTTTCGCCACTATTCATCATAAAAGACAAATTACCTCGTCCCGCCCTCGGTTAAATGCCCTGTCCACGAAGAAAAAGGGCTCGAGGTTCACTGAAAAGGTCCGCTGCCTCTGAATAAATTCGCCGCAAACTCGATTACAGTAATCATCCGCGTCCTCGTAATTAGAACTCCTAAAATAGCTGCACAGTCGTTGCCTTTTTAGTTATAAACGGAGAGAATTCACTTGATAGGTTGCTTAAACATCCTGTTTACAAGCGAGATTGACGAACACTACTAAATTTACGTAATTTCGAATAATATCGAATGAAAAAATAAAATTCGCAATAAATAAGTATTTATATACATCGTCGTGAGTATAGGTATTAAGTGTTTAATTACGTAACAAATAGCCTTTTGATGGACGAGACAGAACATTTAAAATATTCACACGCACGAGTCAAGATTTTACGTTCTTTTTGTTTCGATATATTCATGCGATTTCTTATTGAAAAACTAATAAATCGGAAATGATCGTAGACGAATAATTATGATGATTTTATTTCAATTCAATGAAAATTATTGATGCATTCAAGATTATCGAATATACATGTCATATATATATATATATATATATA